GGTCGAGCGCGTACGAGAGCTTTACCTCATCGGGAGGCAGTTCGTCTGGCAGCGAGGCGGTCTGCTCGCCCTTCTCGACGAACGGCGAGTAGCGGCCGACGCGCACGAAGACCTCTTCGCCGTCGTCGGCCTTGCCGAGCGAGATGCGGCTGATCGAGCGGGCGTCGATCTCTTCAACCTTGTTCTCGAGTTGCCGCTTGAGGCCCGGCTTGCCGTTGCCGAAGTAGAAGTTCTTGAGGTAGTCGAGGTTGTCGCGCTCGCCGCGGCTGATGGCGTCGAGGTCGTCCTCCATCTGGGCGGTGAACTGATAGTCCACGAGGCCCGTGAGGTGGTCTTCGAGAAGCTTCACGACCGAGAACGCGACCCAGGTCGGCACCAGCGCGCCGCCCTTCTTGAAGACGTAGTTCCGCGCGAGGATCGTATCAATGATCGACGCGTAGGTACTCGGCCGGCCGATGCCCTTCTCTTCGAGCGCCTTGGTCAGCGCCGCTTCGCTGAACCGGCTTGGCGGCTGGGTGGTGTGGTCCTTGGCGATCATCGACGCCACGTCGAGCGCCTCGCCCACCTCGACGCTCGGCAACGCCTTCTCTTGGTCCGCGAGTTCGGCGTCGGGGTCGTCGGAGCCTTCGACGTACGCGCGGAGGTAGCCCGGGAAGTCGATCGTCTTGCCGCTGACGGTGAAGACGCAGCCCTCACCCTCGATGGTGACGACGATCCGCCGCCCGCGGGAGTCTTCCATCTGGCTGGCAATGGTGCGCTTCCAGACGAGGTCGAAGATCTTGAACTCGTCGGCGCCGAGCTGCGCCTTCAGCACCGAAGGCACCGCGAACGGCGTGCCCGCGGGGCGGATCGCCTCGTGAGCCTCTTGGGCGTTCTTGACCTTCGAGCTGTAGACGCGCGGCGCGCCGGGCAGGTACTTCTCGCCGTACTCGCTGCGGACGAGGTTCCGCGCCTCTTCAACCGCCAGCTTCGACAGGTTCGTCGAGTCGGTACGCATGTAGGTGATGTGGCCGTTCTCGTAGAGGGCCTGGGCCACCTGCATCGTCCGCCGGGCGGTGAAGCCGAGCTTGCGGTTCGCTTCCTGCTGCAGCGTGCTGGTCGTGAACGGCGCGTACGGCTTCGTGGTGTACGGCTTCTCTTCGACGCTGGCGACGCGGAACTCGCCGGTGCGGAGCTTCTCGGCGAGTTTCTCGGCGGCGGGGCCGTCGAGCAGCAGCATCGCCGTGTTCTTCAGCTCGCCGGTGCGGTCGTCGAAGTCCTTACCACTCGGCAGCCGCTTGCCATCGACCGAGACGATTGTCGTCTCGAGGCGCTGCTTGGAGTCGTTCTTCTTGGTGAAGACGGCTTGCAGGTCCCACCACGTGGACGAGACGAACAGCATCCGCTCACGCTCACGCTCGACGATCAACCGCACCGCGACGCTCTGAACGCGACCCGCCGACAGCTTCGGCCGCACCTTGCGCCATAACAGCGGCGAGACCTCGTAACCGTAGAGGCGGTCGAGGATGCGGCGCGTTTCCTGTGCCTTGACGAGGCCCGTATCGACGCTGCGGGGCGAACGGATCGCCTCCTGGATCGCGTCCTGGGTGATCTCATGGAACACCAGACGATGGACCGGCACCTTCGGCTGGAGCAANNGAGCAACTCCAAGAGGTGCCAGCTGATGGCCTCTCCTTCGCGGTCTTCGTCCGTCGCCAGATAAAGCGTGTCCGCTTTCTTCAGCTGATCCTTGAGCAGCTTGATCTGCTTGGTCTTGCCGGGCGAGACGACGTAGATCGGCTCGAAGTCCTTCTCGACGTTGACCCCCAGGCTTGCCCATTTCTCCCCTTTATACTTAGCGGGGATCTGCGCGGCGCCCTGCGGCAGGTCACGGACGTGGCCCACCGAGGCCTCGACGGTGTAGCCCTTGCCGAGGTACTTGCCGATCGTCTTCGCCTTGGCGGGCGATTCGACGATCACCAGGGCGTTGCCCTGACCGGCGGCGGCTGCTTTCTTGGCCATTGAGGATTCGTAGACGGGAGTAAAAGTAGCGGTGCTAAGTCGGCGGGAGTTTTGGCGGTATGGCTGTCTATCTGGCAGCAAGCCGACGTCACCCCAGCCGTTGGCAAAAACGACCGGTTGCCCGGGTTGTGCCGACACACCTCACCACAAGGCAGCCGGCAAAACTGCGCCAATCGCGCCGAATGCTACGCGGTTGGCGGGCCGGTGACGATGGCTAGCACGCTGCGGAGGGGCCAAAATCTGGCTCGCTCCTCGACGACACTCGCTTGCTGGGATTGCGTTTACGTCGAAAACGCCGGACAATCCCCCGCTTCACTTGTCGCCGAAGGCCGCAGCAAGGTGCGGCGACTCCCTAACGTCTGTCAAGACCGGCGCCGCCAGCTTCGCTGTCGGACGTTGGCCGCTTGCGTCGCCGGATGCGACGCACCAACCAAGATAACGACGCGGCCTCACAGCCCCCCTGGGTGGGGGAATCAGCCGCCAGGAGCTAGCTACCGATGGCCACGCCCCTCACCACGTTCAGCAAGTACAGCGGCGCCCTCATGGCCGTTTTGTGCGTGCTGCTGATGTTCAGCTTTGTCATCGGCGACCCGCTGATGCAGTACGCGGGTGGGGGGTCGGACGGCCCGAGCGGCGGCAACGAGGTGGTCGCTAGGTGGAACGGCGGCAAGATCAACGAACGGCAGCTCGACCAAGCGGTCATGCACCGCAACATCCTCGCCTCCTTTCAGCAAGCCGTTTACGTTCTCGGCGCCCGCGACGCCGAGGCCGATGGCGTCCAGGACCTCGGCCTGCGGGTGATGCCGATCGAGTTCCCGCGGACGCCAGAAGAAGGCGTCGAACGCGATGTGGTAGCGATGAAGATCTTCGCCGAGCGCGCCCGCGAAGCGGGCATGGTGGTCAGCGACGAGATGATCATCGACTACCTCCGCGCGCTAGGCCGTGACCGCGTCAGCAACGATCAGATGCGCGACATCCTTTCGAATATGAAGTTCAGCGGCGGCCAGCGGGCGACGATCGCCTTTATCTTCGATCTGCTCCGCGAGTCGATGCTCGCCAATAACTACCGCCGCAGCTACTTGTACGCCTTCCAAACGATCCTCCCCGAAGAGCGTTGGGAAGACTGGAAGACCGTCAACGAGCGCGTGGTCGTTGAAGCGGCGCCGCTGAAAACGGAAGACTTTGTCGCCGAGGCGGCCGAGCCCACCGACGCCGAGCTGGAAGAGTTCTTCGAGCTCTACAAGCTCCGGACTCCCACGACCGAAACCGTGCTTGGAGTCGAGCTGCCGTCCGCGGTTCCGGCGTTCGCGACCCCCGAGCGGGTAAAGCTGGCCGTCCTCCGCGCTGATTTCAACGCAGTCGTCGAAGAGGTCACACCGGAAGTCACCGAAGAGCAGATCGCCTCGTTCTACGAAGAGAACAAGGAGAGCTTCATCCAAGCCGACCGCGCGCTGTTTGGCGATGACAGCCTGTTCGGGTCCGACGACCTGACAGCAGACGAGCCATCCGACGAATCTAGCGAGGCCCCCGCCACCGAAGAAGGCTCAGAAGAGGGCGCCGAAAAGGCCACCGAC